TTCCTCACGTCTTTTATTACAGATTGATAAATAGTGCTCCTATTTCGCAATAAGAACGAATTATTTATCAAAAAGTAATCAAGGACTATCACCTAGAGGGTATCCTGCGACACACTTAGGCTCAAGCTGTAAGAGAAAATTCCAATTAGTAAAGAAATTAATTTGAAAAATTACCTTGACGTTTCGATAGCTATTTCCTGCTATCGTTATCAAAAGAACCTAAATGAACCTAAAAAAGGGTATGTTAATAAATTGTGTAACAATAGTAGGATAATACAGTATATGAAAATTCGCTCTGATTATTCGTCACCACAATTATTTTGATTGAGTAAAATTAGGGCGCTTTCTTTAATTTTACAAAATAAAAAAACAAAAACTTGATGAATTTTTATCTTATCTGAATAATAAAGAACCAACAATTAAATTTACTACTGAAAAAGAACAAAATCATCAAATTCCTTTTCTCGATATACTAATTCAGAAAAATTTAGACAATTTCGAAACCTTGGTCTATAGAAAACCTACTGATGCTAACCGATATTTGAATTTCGACTCAAATCACCCATTAATGGTTAAAAAAAGGTATCGTAAAAAGTCTATATGATAGAGCAAAAATAATTTGTAATCAATCTAATTTTTCCAAAGAAAATTAAAGAAAGCGCGCTAATTTTACTAAATCAAAATAATTGTGTTGCTTCATGTTCATTTAATTTAAGTCATACATGGTTACCTATGCTAAAATCTGAAGTAGACTAGAGAAACATACACTAAAATTAAATTTACACCAAAATTATTAACACATTTTTTGAGACGAAATACCCAACAAGAAGTTTGTAAAAAAATGAATCCGCCTCAACAATGTAGAACTTATCTACTGTCCTTATTGTGCCCGATAAAAATAGAGAAAGATCAGAGAGCAGACTTGACTTACAAATGAAGATTCACACCGAATGCTCTCTTCAAACCGCCAATAACATCTGATCAGGTCATCAGTCTCTTTTGCTTTCGCGGACAATCCCGCTTTCTGTTCCCAGAAGAAGTTTTCTTTTTGTAAAAAATAAAGACAATTTCTATCTATGCAAGGTGTACGAAAGTGATCTTGAAGTGAATCTCAACTAGAAGGTAAGAGAGTTCAGTTATCTTATCTCCGCTTGAAATGGTACATTTTGTACTTGAGCTGTGGCATTTGAGAGGCATTTTTGTACACCCTGCATTGCCTGTGTACCATTTTGAGCTAGAAGCGGCAGGATTGCAAGGGGTTTGATGCACTTTTCCAGGTCCAACTCAGTAGTGCAGGTGTCCAGCAAGTACGACCTGGAAAATCGGCTAAAGTCGGCTGGATCCAAGCTGGTGGTAATCGACTTCTTTGCCACCTGGTGCGGCCCGTGCAAGATGATTGCCCCCGAGTTGGAGCGCATGGCTAGGGACTTTCCGAATGTGGTGTTTTTGAAGGTGGATGTTGATCAGAATGGGGACGTTTCCAGGAGTTATGGGGTGTCCGCAATGCCCACGTTTGTGTTCCTGAAGAACCGCCGGGAGGTCTCCCGGCTTCAAGGAGCGGATTCCTACTCACTGCGCTCCACAATACAACGATACAGATAAACCGGCCAACCCTAAGCAGCTCAAGCGAGTGGAGGAATTGAACTATTTTGAGTTAGACATAGAATAAAATTGTCATTGTTTTTGAGCTGCTTAATAGACCAAATAATTTACCCAGAAAAGTGTTTCATTTTCCTGTTAGGGATTTTTTCCAGTTGAAAAGGGAGTTTTTATTTTGATCGATTTTTCCAGCAAACCGGATAAGCCCGACCAAAAACCGCCCGCTAGACCCATCAAAAGAGATGGCAATATTCGGCGACTAGCAGACATGAAGGATGATGATGATGAGAATAACACTTGGAATGGAAACTCCACGCAGCAGATGTAGGAAATGTTGTTTTACTTGAAAATTTTATGTTATAGCTAGAGGCTCAATGAGCTGCTGGCGATAAAGTTGGTTTAGATGATAGGTTTTACACAATAAATTGCTTCTTTTTGCTTAATTTACTTGAAATTCCATTAGAACCAGCAACAAAGCGCAACATTATTTCCTTCTTGGAAATATTTAGAAATAGTCCTGAGGAAGAATTAGCTGGACATTTCTTGCTTCTTCAGTGATACATTTTTTTGCGCTCAGTTTCATCCATCCAATACCTTTCCCATTACGTATTCAGCTTCAATTTGAGAATTTCTAGAAGAAACCTTAGCGTGAGCGCTAATCAAATGAATCTTCCGTGAACGAGTGGATAAATAGTCAAGTTTCCATCTTCCCCCGGATTTGGATAAACTGATGCGTAAAACGGTCAAGCACATCGAAGACCGAAAAAACAATGAATGGCGAAAGTTTTCATATTTTCCTGTGTTAAAAATTTAATTCCTAAAATCTTGAGTTCATGAAAGGCAAGAAACAATGGCATTAATTATTATGTAAAACGAGCTTGAAAAATCTGAAAATTTGAACTTTCTTCATTATAGACTGGTTTTTTCGTTACTAAATCTATAAATGTGGTTGTTTTCATCGGAACAAAAGTTCATTTTTAATTGCAAACAGAGACTCTCCTGAAGAAAAAAAACACTCCTGAAGATGGAAGTTTGAAACTCAGCAGTAATAAGGTGAAACAATCTCTAACGAATGATGAAACGAGAAAAATCCCCATTTTTTTCGTATACGGAAAAAATTATTTGCAAAACTATGGGCGTCTGAATGGATGATTTCTAGATAGCAAAGATTAAACGCTCAAATTTACGAGAAATCATTAAAGTGCA